AATTAGATCTTCATTATTATTTAATACTAAACACCAGATATATCCATTATGTCCATTTAATTTCTATTTGAAAATCCAATAATTGTTTTAATCTTTTTACCATATTATTATAGATTGATCATAACTCCCAGATATAAACTAATTCGATTACTTCATGAAGTTTAAAGTATACACGTAATCATTATGTGCACTTAAAGATTAAATTAATTTCAACATTCCTTATTTAAATTCAAATACATTAATTTATGAATTAGATCCAGCCACTAATGTTGAACAATCTTTATTAATCGCTATTGCACCACACCAATTTTCTTATGATATTGAATATTCTTTGATAAGTTAATAAGTGAATGGTTGATTGATAGATTGATGACTAAATTAAATAGTTTATTATTGTAGATTATTTATTTTAGTATTTAGTGATTGTATATCTTAAGTTTTTTGCTATAAGTTGATTGATTATTTTTAATCACTTTGATTATATTATTAAGTAATTAGGTCTAAACTAGACAACAGTTCCTTGCATTTATTATAGTGAGTAAATTAATTAAATTATTCTAATAAACGATTCAATTTTGTAGTCCAACAGAGATTCGTTTTCAATATGTCATGAATATATGAGTTGGAATTAGATTTATTTGTTTTGAAAAACATAATTTCTAATTCTTCAAAAAAACTATATTGAGAATATTATGATAGTTGGCATTATAGATTCTTTATCCATTCCATCATTATAGTATTTAATTAGTTTAATTATTACATTACATATGATTTCATTTGATCAACAATACTATTTAATTATTCAATTAACTTTATTTAGTCCTTTGTGATATTTTCAACTGTTTCCATCTTCTTTATCTAATTTTCTTCTATTAATGAAACAATTTTTTTTAAACCAACAGCTTGACTATTTATTACTGTATCATCGAAACATTATATGCACAATAGTCTCTAATTCATTGATAATTTTGGATCAAGTATAATTGTAACAACAGGCAGCTAATGTCCTTTAAAGCAACAAAAATCTTTTTCTTTTTCTATCATTTTTGGTTTTTACATTTAATTAATTAATAA